TGTCATATCTGGGCAGGATGACATGAATGCTGTTTTTTTTTTTTTTTTAACGTTTAGAGCTTGGAAGCAAGTGAATATGTGTTAGGGGAGAGAAAGTCTGGTCACTGTCCACACTAATAAAAGGATGCCTGGCCGGACCCTGATATCTCGACCAGGAGCTGGATTTCCTTTAAGATTCGCAAGTTGCCGTCTTCACCCCAAGACCTATTTACCACTTTACTCCCGTTGCCTCAGGACGGAAGGACGACCCTCCTCTTCGGTTCGCCAGCCTCCTCCACCAGAACCCCTCTTGTTCCTTGCCTCCTCGTTTTTCCCCCTGCCTCCTCCTAGAGACCTGCCTGTTATTGTGGAGTACGACGATGAAGAGATTATGGAAAATATACAGTCTGTGAACAGCGTTTCGTCTCGTGCACAAAGGTTAAAAAATGAAGATTACCCTTATGAAATCAGAGGTGTGGAAGGTCAGTATCCTGTCGGAGTGAAGGGAGAGATATACATGAAAAATAGTGGGCATAGAGTCCCCGGAGAGATGGAGGAGAGTAGAAGTGATGCCTCGATGGACATAGGAACGCTGAGGACGGCTGGGGGCATCACTAAGGAGAGACCCTCAACTCCTGTGCTGTCTGGTCATAGTGACGGTCTGCAGAGTGATGGCGACAGCTTCGACGACAGTGATGTGGATAGCGTAGAAAGGAAGGAACAAGACCGGGACCTAATGGACGTACTTTATGCTTCTCCCATGTCCTCTTCCCCCAATGCTTCTTCTCCCCACGCACCCCCCACCTCCTCTTTCTCCTCTCCCCCACCACCCCCCCAAAACCTTTACACAATCCATCCTTTCCAGTTCTTTTTCATCCCACTTTCCAGCCTTCAGTAGCTTTCAGGTCACCACGCGAGTCTAGCTTCCAACTGAATATGGAGGAGGATGTATACGACCCCTCACTACCATCCATTCCTCTAGTGGAAGAAGAACAGCACCAGAGGTCACCAGGGCTCAAGTCTGCCCTTAAAGGAATTAAGTCAAAACTGAATGATGAGAGTGACCTAAGCGAGGTGACTAGTGTAAACCCTGGTCTGGACGACTGGCATGATGCTTTAGGGGCTACCTCCCGCTTGGGCTGGGCTCTCATTCTCTATCATGCCGTCAGGAACAACTTCAAGCCTCACGCCTTCGCTCGTTTGGCCTTCCAGGTACAGTATGTGGACCCGCCTTCTCCAGTTATTCTTGTTTCCTCTCTCTTCCTTTCTCACTCAGAAATGTTCAAGAAATGGCAAAGTACTTTATCCACAGTGGTATATTGCAGACCATTCTGGAGAAATACCCTGACTTTGCTAGCTGTAAATAAAGCATTACCACATGTGTGTTTGTGTGTGCGTGTGTATGTGTATGTGTGTGTGTGCGCGCGTGTGTGTATGAGTTTGTGTATGTGTGTGTGTGTGTGTGTGTGTATGAATTTGTATGTGTGTGTGTGTGTATGTGACTCAACAATCAATATTTGCACCAATAACTCACTACAGTTGTGACCGGGTGTGGAAGTGTGAATTGCTCATTACACTATAATTTGTTCATGATTGTAGCCATGTATAAACGTAAGTAACCATTCTTACAGTATTCATTACCTTTGTAACTTGAGTTCATTACCTTGTACCTAGTTCAGCCATCAAAACTTTGGGGCCCAGTCCCTGGACCCATTACGTACCTCTGTAATCTGTAAATACCTTTGTAACTTGTCATGATTGTGACTAGACCTACCTGGAGTTCATTACCTTTGTAAATTGTGAGTTCATTACCTTTGTAAATTGTGAATTCATTACCTCTGTAACTTGCTCAGCTATCAAAACTTTGGAGTCCAGTCCCTGGACCAATTATGTACCTCTGTAATCTTTTGACTACCGCCCACAGGATGGGTATGGGGTGCATAATAAACATATTAAACTAACTAACTCCTTTCTCTCTCCCTTTCTCTCTCTTCCTTTCTCTCTCTTCCTTTCTCTCTCTTCCTTTCTCTCTCTTCCTTTTCTCTTCCTTTCTCTTCCTTTTCTCTCTCTTCCTTCTCTTCCTTTCTCTCTTCCTTTCTCTCTTCCTTTCTCTCTTCCTTTCTCTCTCTTCCTTTCTCTCTCTTCCTTTCTCTCTCTTTCCTTCCTTTCCTTTTCTCTTTCCTTTCTCTCTCTTCCTTTCTCTTTTCTCTCTTCCTTTCTCTGTCTCTCTTCTCTTCTTTCCTTTCTTTTTCCTTTCCTTTCTCTTCTTCCTTTTTTTTTTTTTTTTTTTTTTTTTTTTTTTTTTTTTTTTTTTTTTTTACACAGGGTTTGACAATGTTAAGGATCCCTAGCTTTATTGACAGCTATTTACAGGTTAAGGATTCCTAACTTTATTGGCAAGCTAAGAGCTGTTACCTACATCGGCTCATTTGAAAGCATTTTTATTGTTATGAGACATACAAGTAGGGAACAGGATGAAGTTGGAGCCATCTGTGGGCCAGCATTTTCATTTGATCAACTGACTTTATCTCGTTGACATCATTATGCTGTACGAATGTGTTCCATACTCGAGTCATCCTGGGTATGTATGATATCAGATGGAGTGATGTTCTGGAGAAGGGTACAGCCAGAGTGAAGTTGCCGCTTTCTGCCCGTCTTGTGGCATAAAAGCTTGTTTCACGCTGTCCTCGAAGTGGATCCAAGTGTGGTATTTTGACAATATTGGCCTTGTACATAACAGTAAGGCCACCCACATCCCTCCTATGTTGAAGGCTCTGCTGAAATGACAGATCTATCCAGGATGGGTCCAGGCGAGAGATGAGACGTCTTGCTCTGTTCTCTACTCTGTCAAGCAGTCGCAGATGAGAGGGGGGGGCAGGCAAACCAAGAAAGTGGAGCATACTCAAGGTGTGAGCGTACTTGTGCCTCGTACAGGATCTTGCAACCCCTACTGTCAAGCAGATGGGAGATACGGCGAAGTGCTGTAAGCTTCCTTTCTCTCTCTTCCTTTCTCTCTCTCTTCCTTTTTCTCTCTCTTCCTTTCTCTCTCTCTTCCTTTCTCTCTCTCTTCCTTTCTCTCTCTTCCTTTCTCTCTTCCTTTCTCTCTCTCCTTCTCTCTTCCTTTCTCTTCCTTTCTCTCTTCCTTTCTCTCTCTTCCTTTCTCTCTCTTCCTTTCTCTCTTTCCTTTCTCTCTCTTCCTTTCTCTCTCTTCCTTCTCTCTCTTCCTTTCTCTCTCTTCTTTCTCTCTCTTCCTTTCTCTCTCTTCTTCTCTGTCTTTCTCTCTCTCTTTCTCTCCTCTCTCTCTTCCTTCTCTCTCTCTCTCTTACCTCTCTCTCTCTCTTCCTCTCTCTCTCTTTCCTTCTCTCTCTCATTCCTCTCTCTCCTCTTCCTCTTCTTTCTCTCTTCCTTTCTTCTTTCTCTCTACCTTTCTCCTCTTCCTTCTCTCTCTTCTTCTCTCTTCTTCCTTTCTCTTCCTTTCTTCCTTTCTCTCTTCCTTTCTCTCTCTTCCTCTCTCTCTTCTTTCTCTTCTCCATTTCTCCTTTCTCTCTCTTCTTATCCTCTCTTCCTTCTCTCTCTTCCTTTCTCTCTCTTCCTTTCTCTCTTCCTTTCTCTCTTCTTTCTCTCATACTTTCTCTCTCTTCCTTTCTCTCTCCTTCTCTCCTTTTCTCATCCTCTCTCTCTTCCTCTCTCTCTCTCTTCCTTCTCTCTCTCTTCCTCTCTCTCTTCCTCTCTCTCTTTCCTTCTCTCTTTCTCTTCCTTTCTCCTTTCTCTTCCTTTCTCTCTCTTCCTTTCTCTCTCTTCCTTTCTCTCTCTCCTTTCTCTCTCTTCCTTTCTCTCTCTCCCTTTCTCCTTCCTTTCTCTCTTCTTTCTCTCTTCCTTCTCTCTCTTCCTTTCTCTCTCTTCCTTTCTCTCTTCCTTTCTCCCTCTTCCTTTCTCTCTCTTCCTTTCTCTCTTCCTTTCTCTCTCTTCCTTCTCTCTCTTCCTTTCTCTCTCTTCCTTTCTCTCTCCTTTCTCTCTCTTTCCTTCTCCTCTTCCTTTCTCTCTTCCTTTCTTCTTTCCTTTCTCTCTCCCTTCCTTTCTCTTCCTTTCTCTCTCCCTTCCTTTCTCTTCCTTTCTCTCTTCCTTTCTCCCTTTCTCTCTCTCTTTCCCCCCCTTCCACGTCTTACTTTTTGAAAGGTATTTTGGCGCTCAGCCCTTACATCAGAAGACTGGGGTAATCTTGGTTTCGTGTGTTTGAAATAAGTTATTGTAGTAGTTTGTGGGGAAACATTTATACTTATTTTTTATGTCCTAATATCTAGTGGAATCAGCTGTTACTTTAATGTGAGCTTTTGGGCTTTGTTTCTACCAGTCATTAATTAAATGAGAGGTAGAAAACGTTTTCAAAATGAATTCTCTCCTTTCTGTTGGGTTTTCCCGTTAGTGAGGGGCTCTTGATCCAAGGAATTGGACCTGATCTGCCTTTGGCTCGACCCTGGATTAATCACCTATTCCTCCAGGCACTGTAAGATCCCTATGGGTTGGTGCTCTCTTCCATGAACATAAGTTATTACGGCCTATTACATGAAGAATTTTTGCTAGTTTAATTTATTATTACTAAAACTGTTTATTACAGCTTTTTTGGGTTTTGTAATTTTTTAGTTGTGCTGGTCGGAAAATTGTATTTCATGTCGCTTAATGTAAAAATTAAAATACTTTATTAAATTATACACCCATCACATCCCCACTCAGCTACTCCGTCAATTCTCACACCTTTAGGATGCTATCCACGTAGCTTCTCTGGGGTCTAACTGTCATTTGATCTTCCCGTTGATTCTCTAGCATTTTCTCGTGCTTACCATCGGCCCTCTTTTAACATTCTTATGGTCTTTCTATTGGAACCCCTAACTTTTTTGGCCTCCCTAAGCCCCCCCCTTCCCTACTTTCTCTTGGTCTTCCCCCATAGCCCCCCATTCTAACCTCTTGATCTACCCAGTAGCCTACAAATCTGTGTTAACTTTCGTCTATTTTTTTTATTGCAGGGAAGCCAAGAGTTTGTACGGGCAGTAGCAGACTACATCACCCGGGAAAACACGCTGCTCAGCTTCAAGAAGGGAGATATCATCAGAGTCAACGGTGCTGACAGATACGAGGATAATGGTGAGCTCTAAATAATAATTTATAATACGAGATTGTGTTGCTTATGGGCGTCTGTTCCTTAAAGAAATTCACAAGAGCTCGCACACCAAACAGTAATTATGATACTGTGGCCTGGTGGCTGAAGCTCTCACTTCACACGGTGAGGGTCTGAGTTCGATTCCCGGCGATGGTAGAAACATTGGGCACGTTTCTTTATACCGGTTGTCTATGTTCACCCATTAGTAAAATGGGAACCTGAGAGTTAGACTGGTGTGGGTCGCATTCTGGGACAAAACTGACCTAATTGCCCGAAATGCTCTGAGAACATAAGCGGCTTTCTATATAGTAGTATGTCATTGATGCCAGCTAGACATTTCTCGGAATTTGCATGACAGTGTCCTCCATTGAAGACACCACAAGACTCCAGGCGGACATCAACCCAATCTTTAATGGGTGAATTGGGAATTTGTGATTTACCTCATTTGTGTACCTTAATATAATTTCCACCTTGTATTGTAATGTTTTAAATAAAATATATATATAAAAAAAGAAATCTTTAATGGGCCGCAGAAAACAATATAAAGTTCAGTGATGAGAAATTTCAATTACTCCGATATGGAAAACGTGAGGAAATTATAATTATATCGGATTATAGAACAAATTCCAACCACACAGTAGAGTGAAAAACTAATGTAAAAGACCTGGGAATGCTCATGTCAGAGGATCTCACCTTCAAAGATCAAAACAGTGTGTCAATTGCATCTGCTAGAAAAATGACAGGGTGGATAATGAGAACCTTCAAAACTAAAGATGCCAAGCCCATGATGACACGCTTCAGGTCGCTTGTTCTATCTAGGCTGGAATATTGCAGCACACTAACAGCACCTTTCAGGGCAGGTGAAATTGCTGACCTAGAAAATGTACAGAGAACCTTCACGGCACACACAACTGTGATAAAATGCCTAAATTACTGGGAACGCTCGAAGTTCCTCAACCTGTACTCCCTAGTATGCAGACGGGAGAGATGCATGATTATATAAACTTGGAAAATCCTAGAGATTAGTACCAAACTTGCACATGAAAATCACTCCATATGAAAGCAATAGACTCGGCAGACGATGCAACATCCCGCAGTAAAAAGCAGGGATGCCACTAGCACAATAAGAGACAACACAATAAGTGTCAGGGGCCCAAGACTGTTCAGCTGCATTCCAGCATACATAAGGAGGATTACCAATAGACCCCTGGCTGTCTTCAAGAAGGTACTGGATAGACACCTAAAGTCAGTACCTGACCAGCTGGGCTGTGGCTCGTATGTCAGGTTGCGTGTGACCAACAGCAACAGCATGGTTAATCAGGCCCTGATCCACCATAAGGCCTGGTCACAGACCGGGCCGTGGGGGCATTGACCCCCGAAACCCTTTCTAGGTATACTCCAGGTTTAGACCTGTATACCTTGTAGAAATGAAAGAATTATTATTATTATTATTATTATTATTTATTTATTATTATTATTATATTAGTGACATTATGATCATCAGGATCATAAGGTCTATAAAACAAATGCACTTTAAATTTGAGACTTTAAAGCATGAATAGATGTTAGATTCTTAACACTGACAACATATTGAATACATATATAACCCTGACCTGGGATAATGTAACATTTGATGACGTTTCAGTCCTACTTGCGCCATTAAGTACTCACACAAGTGCAAAGGAGAGGGAGACAGAATACGTATATATATTTGAGGGGGACAAGAGTGGTGTAATAGGAGGAAATAGTAGTGGTAATAGTTGAAGTGCAGCAGTGGTAGAGGTAGAAATAATTAAGTGGTAGTGACTAGTTAATAATAATAATAATAATAATATCTTTATTTACTACGAGTACATGTACATGGTCCAAGTCTGACAGATACGTAGTCATAAGTTTCTCTTAAATGCAGGTTGTGTATTGTTCCAGCCACAGTATTGTGCCTCTATCCAACATGTTGAACAATCAAGAAGCTACATAAGAAATTGCTTGCTCTGCAAATGATTTCTCCCCATCACAAGGCTCAATCAGTCTGAAGGGATCCTTGGCAATTTGCTGAGTCATTCCCGAGCTAATGTACAATCACATCAGCAGAGCTAGTGCAGCCATTAAAAGTAGGGACTAATGGGAATCCCAGTTAAGAGTGAAAATACCAATCTAGCTGGGCAATTCAGCGTGTACATTAGTTAAGTAAACCCACAAACCATTGCAAAAAAATAAATTTGAGGCAATAAACACCTAAATGACAAAGATATTCTGCTTATCAAGGTGTATTCTGACTGTAGGTTTATTTATGAAAACTGCTAAATTTAACAATTTGGTTGATATGTCCAACAAATGACATTGAAGAATCCATGTAGATATTCACATCACTCGCCAATCTCACAGGCTGCAAAATGACAATACTGCAATTAAAGACATCAAAAATCTTCAGTTGGTACTCTGCTGAGGTTTCCCTGATAATCAAAATATCTTACCCTTATTTAGTTTCAATTTTTTTTTGTCAACCAAGTCTGAATATCCAGCAAAAAAGAACAGGTGGTGAAACATTATTCTGCTTTGGAAATTGATCAAAAAATTATACGACACAAATTTAGAAAGGAATATAACACAATTTCTGAATCAAGGGAAGGCTTTTTGAGCAGGCACACAAAGTCCTCTTCATTGACATGCTTTGAAAACGACGATGGGTCAACAGTCATAAAAGGAACAGCACTTTCATATTTGGGCAAGATCTTCGAAACATTTATAGGATCTAATACAAAATGTTGTCTTGACACAGTCACCTTTGTAACTTGAGTTCATTACCTAAGTACCTTGTTCAGCTATCAAAACTTTGGGGCCCAGCCCCTGGACCCATTATGTACCTCTGTAATATTTTGACTACCGCCCACAGGATGGGTATGGGGTGCATAATAAACATATTAAGCTAAAAACTAACTGACAGTGATGCATCCCAGAACTCACTCCATGCTATGTGGAGCTGAATAAAGGTAATCTCAGTTTAAGGTTACACAACCTAAATGAATCCAGTCAAAAAATAGGATGAGTGCTGTAAATTTTAGTTTTGCACAAGAGGCACTCATCACCTGAATTAGTGTGTGGGTTCATTTGACACTGGCCAGTGTTTATTATTATGCTTAAAGTTAAAAGTGAGCTTGTCTTTCTATAAATTTTGAAGTCTATCTTAAATGTTAGGATATTGCCAAATTTGTTCTATTTGACAGTTGTTTCTGTAATTCAAGATTATAAATAGCAGACATAAGTGTATGAAACTCAGCATACATTTCCACAGGCTTCAACTAACTTTTGATAATGAATAGTTAGATAGAGATAAGTTATTATAAAATTCAATTGTAAATCATTTAAGCATACAGTAAAAGCATTACTTGTGTGTTTTACATTTATCCATAAATGGAAGGTGACAAAACATGTCAAAACTAATTGCATTACATTACATTTTTTCCAAGTGAAGAAAGTATTAATGTATGAGGAGATGGACAACCTTCTCTCCTGAGAATGCTTGTCCTCGTCTTATAAACTGCTTATACTGTGGCTCCCTGTAACCTGGGTGTGCACTAGTGAAAGGAACTGCCCATTGAAGCTCCGTGCCGAGGTCAAACCTTGCACATGTATGCCTCAATGTTGTTCATCTTCATTGTTCAACCCTCTGAATCTCCACATTACAGCATCATTCATCTTCACTACTTAGTCCTGCACATCTTCAGAGCATCATTAATTTTTACTACTCGGTTTTAGACATCTTCACAACTGAACATCAGTAACATTGTTCATCTAAACTATTAAACATTGAATGGCATTATCAAGGTATATACTGAAGCCAAATTATTTTTTTTTTTTTGGGGGGGGGGGCACAAAGTGGCACATCAGACACTCCCCAAAACCCACTTGACATCAAAAGGAACTAGGGATAAGACAACACTACCCAAAATAATTTTTGGTGTCAAATTGGAGGAGAAAAGGGAACATTTTATTTTATTTATTTATTTTATGTCTTTGCAAACAGTACATTGAGATTTTATATTTACAATAGTGGGTTGCAATGCAAAGAGAGCCTCTGTTATGCCTAGGCATTATGGGCCAACATAACATTAACATTTCTAGTTGTAGCTACACTGAGAGTAAAAGGTAGATAGGATACAAGGAGAATAAAAGCATCAGTGAAGAGAGAGGTGAAGGTTTATAAACTAAGAGGAGGCAGTTAGGGTAAGATATAAACAGCTATTGGAGGATAGATGGGCTAATGAGAGCATAGGCAATGGGGTCGAAGAGGTATGGGGTAGGTTTAAAAATGTAGTGTTAGTGTTCAGCAGAGGTTTGTGGTTACAGGAAAGTGGGTGCGGGAGGGAAGAGGAGCGATTGGTGGAATGATGTAAAGAGAGTAGTAAGGGAGAAAAAGTTAGCATATGAGAAGTTTTTACAAAGTAGAAGTGATGAAAGGGAGGGAAAGTATATGGTGAAAAAGAGAGAGGTTAAGAGAGTGGGGGAAGCAATGTAAAAAGAGATCAAATGAGAGAGGGGGGTGAGATGTTATCAACAAATTTTGTTGAAAATAAAAAAGTTTTGGAGTGAGATTAACAATTTTAAGGAAGCCTAGAAAACAAATGGATTTGTCAGTTAAAAAATAGGAGAGGAGAGTTATTAAATGGAGAGTTAGAGGTATTGGGAAGATGGAGGGAATATTTTGAGGAATTGTAAATGTTGATGAAGATAGGGAAGCTTTTGATTTGTGTATAGGGCAAGGAGGAAAAAACATCTTGTAGGAGTGAGGAAGAGCCAGTTGTGAGTTGGGGGGGAAGTTCGTGAGGCAGTAGGTAAAATGAAAGGGGGTAAGGCAGCTGGGATTGATGGGATAAAGATAGAAATGTTAAAAGCAGGTGGGGATATATTTTTTGGAGTGGTTGGTGCAATTATTTAATAAATGTAGGGAAAGAGGGTAAGGGTACCTAGGGATTGGCAGAGGGGC